GTGTGATCTAATACCTAAACTCTGTTTGAAAGAGGTTTATTTTAAAGAGGAAGGTGTTGGGGGCCATGTCAGACTGAATCAGGAAAGGGATTATAGAAATAATTGTGACCATCCCTAGGGATAGGCAGTGTGATCAGCAGGTGGGCCATCCTCATAGTCTGGGATGGAAACTAGAGAGGAGTCATTGACTCATTTTCATTGTAAATGAAGCTTGACAGACAATGTCAGATGCTCACTCTCAATATGTCAGTGCAAATCACCAGGCCATAACTGGGCTTCTATTAGCTAGAGCTCAGCTCTGCTATTAAATATGATAATGCTTCATTACGTGATGAGGTGGAAGTGGTAATACTGGAAGCAGGGCCATCATTCCATTTCTGGAAGCAACCTGTTCCATGATTTGTGGCATCTGAAAGATAAAGGTATTAGGTGAGCCCCAAAAGCTTGGGTTCATTTTGAGGAATTCCAATACTGAGTTTAGCTGAACTGATTTGGTATGAAGATCTTGTGGCAATCGCTTGTGAGATTTCCAGTGCTTCCTGCTTTCTGTGGGTAAGAAGAAAAGTTGGACCAAATGCAGCTTTTTTGTTTTGCAGAACTTTGTGCAAAACATGGGCCAGATACTAATCATAGGATGAATTCAGTGGAGCTATGTTGATTTACAGCAGCTAAGGATCTGGTCCTTTGTCTTTGTTTCAAGCATCACATGCTGGGTAATAACATAAGACAGTTCCCTGTTTCTAAAATTAAAAATAGGTCTTTATTACAAGAACTATTTATAGAACTGTTGCAACTGCAGCGGGCATTGCAGCCATGAGCACACAGCACATGGTGCCTCCTCGAAATTCTTTACCCAGGTTCCTCTACCCCTAGTAGGGCTGCTGGTGAGTATTTCCAACAAAAAAAATCTTCAAAAGAAATGAAAAATATATGGTTACACCTTACAAACAAATAATAAAGACAAGCCTCTTAATTTTCAGCATGTGTTTAAGTTCCATTGAAGTCAATCATATCTAAAGCAAAAAATAAACATGTGTTGAAGTATTTTCCTGAATTAGGACCATATCCTAGACAGGTCACAAACTAGGATCTAGACAATAGTCAACAGGTGAATAAATAGGCAAACTGGGGAGAATGGTGGAAGGACAAAGTAGCAGTAGGGACAGGTACATTAGCTCAAGTTAGTAAAAAGTATTTTGAGATGTGTATTTTAGAGCTGAATGTCACAGCTTGCACGGGATCCACTCTGCAATTTTTCCTCCTCTCTGACTGATTCCCCCAGCCATCATTTGCTTTCCAAACACCCCTGCACTTTGACTTCACCTCTGCCCTTGTGCATTTGGCAAAGACACCTCGATTCCCAGATGCTAAAAAGATAAAATAAAAAGCAAATGATATCTCAGCAACCTTGACTTTTTTTATCACTTGAGGCACAAACTTTCTTTGTGAATCACGAATGAAACACTCAAGTCCCCTTTGTTGGAGACAAAAGAAAAAAGAATCCTTTTTGTTTTAAAGTCAGTTTCATGCCAGTGAAAGGTTCGGTGTGACAGCCCTGAAGACTGAAGTCCTCTAGTTATCCTCACAGGAGGTACAGCACACATAGAGGAGCGTTGCAAACTTCCCCTGTATCACCTCATCAATGTACCCGAAGAATGAGTTCTGGAGGAATCCTTTCTGAAGGGGACACACTAGGTCAGTTTCCATGGCTCATTTGGTCCTTGGCCTCTTACCCATAGAAATAATGTACTTATAATAACTTACAATTAGGAAATGTAGACCCTAATCCATCAAGGTACTTAAGCATGTACATACCGTTAACCTTTTGAGCTCAATGGGATTTCTCTGAGCTGAAAGTTATGCACGAACTTAAACACTGTGCTGAATCAGGGCCTTAATATCTTCGGAATAGTAAAATGGGTCTGCAAAAAGAACAGGAGTACTTGTGGCACCTTAGAGGCTAACAAATTTATTAGAGCATAAGCTTTCGTGGACTACAGCCCACTTCTTCGGATGCATATATGCTCTAATTTGTTAGTCTCTAAGAGGACGAAAGCTTATGCTCTAATAAATTTGTTAGTCTCTAAGGTGCCACAAGTACTCCTGTTCTTCTTTTTGCGGATACAGACTAACACGGCTGCTACTCTGAAACCTGTTAAAATGGGTCTGTAATTTTTAGCAAGATTTAGTAATTCAGTATCAAGTTACTGATTGCCTTAGTCTTGTTGTTGTTTTTTCACCATAGCAATTGAATTACATCATACTTAGCTACAACAAATTGCTGAGACAGTTGGTAACTTAATAAAAATAAGAACAATAGAAGATGCAAGTTGGAACCAAGACTTGCCCCATAGGAACTGAGAGTAACAACATATCAATCAAGCAGAGTTATTAAGGAATAAGGTATCCCCTTCTCTAAGGGCAGAGAAGGACAGGAAAACTCCATGAAATGAACTTCACCATGGGACATAGATTATCATCAGTATTTAAGCAGAAGTCTGCAGTAGCACAACATGGCCCTGAATTTCCAGGTGCTAGAAGCTTAGGTAGGCATGAAGTGGACACAGGATTTGGCTTCCCAGTCACACACCTCCTGGGAATCTAGAAGGAAGGAGGTCTCCAAATGGGCAGAGGCAGAGAGGTAGGTGTAACGGCCACTTAGAGGGCACAAATGATCACGGGCTGCAAAACATAGGTCATAGTAAGGCATGAGTTATTCTTCCATCAATGGGCCAGATCTGCGCATTCCATTGACTTCAATGGATCTATGCTAGTTAATACCAGCCAAGGGACCCTAAATCTTTAGCCTTGCATTTCAAATGCATGTATTCAATCTGGATCCATTACGTATGAGCCATCCTGCTATGAAGAAGACCCCCAGCGAAAGGCTGAATAGGAGCCCTAATGTACATCATTCTCTTTTATGCAACATTAACCTGCATAGTTAACGTTATGCAGCTAATTCATAGATGCAGTAAACTATATATTATTTCTTTTAACTGAAAGATCCATTTATCCAACACATTTCCTACTGCCACTGCTAACTATTCACAGCTTATAAAATGTTGTGTTATGAGTGGGGGGGGGTTGTTTCTTCACACTCTTATTGCAGTCATTGAGATTTCCCTTCGAAGAACATAGTGATTTGCAAAAGTATAAAGATGTAGTGGGATAGGGATGGGAGCTGTTGCCTGAAAGTAGGTGCAAATTAGCTGCCATTTTGAACTCTGATGCTTCTGGACAGTTCACAGACAGAATGCTGATCTATATTTAGGCTGTAATGAGGGACCAACTGAAGTTCAGTGCCTCTAAGCATAAAAAAGCAGTTGTGTGAAAAGAAAGAAAGGTTACGAAAATCCCTAGGTGGGAATATAGAGAAAGGCATTGTTCCTGCTGAGGAACAATGGGGAGGGATAGCTCAGTGGTTTGAGCATTGGCTTGCTAAGTCTAGGGTTATGAGTTCAATCCTTGAGGGGGCCATTTAGGGATCTGGGGCAAAAATCTGAGGATTGGTCCTGCTTTGAGCAGGGGGTTGGACTAGATGATCTCCTGAGGTCCCTTCCAACCCTGATATTCTTTAAAAAAAAAAAAAGGAATGAGAGGGCAAAAGATGTGGGTTGGCTGAGAGCCAGCCTTTTCATCTAGGGGTGAAAAACAGTTATATAAGTACTCCATCCCCAAATGTTGCTAGCTCTTTTCAGTCACAGTCACTCACTATGTGCAGACCCGGCCTCAGGATCTATAAAAGAATTATGACAGGTCAGGGCTCTCCAGGCCACCACCAGCCACCTGCTGCTGGAGATACAGTGCTCAACTGCTTGTCCTGGTCTCAAAGCGTAATTTCTAATGTCTATAGGAAGGTTTACCAGTGATGGCTGTCCAGTGGCTGAGTCACCAGCCACTGGCCAATTTTGTGTCCATGTTCTGGTTAATTTTAGCACTTCCTTAGCAACATCAACTGATTAACTGTCACCATTGTCACCCCTGTGAGGATGACTTGTCCCAGAGAGTTAGTGTCACAGCAGGAGTCACAATCCAACAGTCCCTTGTTGTCACTCATCTAGACTAGGTTCTCTTCCATGCTAATGAACTGCCCCTAGCTATGGCCAGACTCATATGAGTGGCTCAGGACTGGAGCTGGATTAGCTGCAAGTAGGCAGGGAGGGAGAAATCTTGTGGTGTCACCTACTTCAGACAGAGGGACACTGCCCCTCTCAGCCAGAAATTATATCAAGGCCCACCCAGAACTAAGGAATTAGTTTCCCAGTCCCAAAGATCAGCCTGGGTGCCTGTAGGGTGGGCCATGTAGCATAATAGCACCCAGAGACCCAGTGAGGATCGGGACCCCTAGTGCTGGGAGCTGTGCAAACATATACCTCCAAAGAATTTTTAGATGAAATCTGAGACGCTCCTTTATGTTCATAGGTCTCCAAAATCAGGCAGCAGCTTCTTGGGTCCCAAAGGCCTCAGCATTCCAGGCCAAAGTGGCACTTTGAGTGAGGGGCTCCTTTAATGATCAAAGGATCAAATCATACAAGTGCCTTCTGAATGCAGCATTGTATCTTTAAGAGGTAAGGAGCATGAAAATCCAGATGTTTGAGGTTTCTGCTAGGAAAGGTGTTTGCTAACTTTTACTGCCCTATAGGGGTAAATCCTCTCTCTCTGAGAAATGCTGAGCACCCACGACTCTCACTGATGTCAACTCACCCTGCCCCTTAGCCAGCAACCCATGCCCTCTCTTGTGGCTATGGTACATTAGCCAGTCACTTTCCCAGGGTGTCTGTTGAGCTCTAGGTAGGAATCTTGACCTCCCATTGTGTAGCTGATAGGAAGGTTTCCCTATGCCCTTCTCCCACTGTCATGTGACTTGGCAACACAGAACAAACTTGATCCCTTCTTCATATCTCGTTAAATTCCTCTCTCTCCTCTATAAAACTCTCACCTATGCATAGGCAGCTGGTGTGCTGTGACTGGTGCTTATCACACTGATCACTAAGGCTAAGAATTTGTCAGGGTTATTTTTAGTGAAAGACACGGACAAGTCATGGGCAATAAACAAAAATTCTCAGAAGCTGTGACCCGTCTGTGACTTTTGCTGCTGCGGCTCCATGAGCTCCCCTGCCACCGTGGTGACTGGGAGCTGCGGGGTCCGTTCCCCCTCTGCCCACGGCAGCTGGAAGCTGTAGGGGAGCTGCCCTACCTCCCGCCCACGGCAGCTGGGACCTGCAGGGTGACCATATTTCCCAAAGAGAAAATGGGACACCCCCAGCTGCTTGCCTGAGGCATCCCCCTCCCCCCCTTCCCATTCCCCCACACAAGGCTGTTGCCTGTCGCTGGAACCCTGAGGAGGGCCCCCTCAGAAGTCTGTCACCTGTCACTGGAACCTTGCAGGGAGTCCTCTGTGGCTGCTGTCGCCTGTTGCTGGAACCATGCCAGGACCACGCTGGCTGCCAGCTGCAACCCCTGGGCCTGAAGTAGAGAATGCCATGGATGTCTCTGGAATTCAGGTAACTTCCATGACCTCTGTGACATAAACATAGCCTTACTGATCATCACTGTCTCCCCATTCCCTTGTGCTCCCACCGTCTGTTTGGCACACCCACCTGTTGTCTTATATGGAGATTGCAAAATCTATAAGGTTGGGTCTGTGACTTTGCAATACGGTCGTACAGCACCTGGCAGGATGGGAGTTCTTGGTGCTACTGCAGTGCCAATATAATATTAATAGTCAGTAATAATAAGTAATCTCAGAGTTTTAAGCAATATGAAAAACAACTGTTTGCAACTGGTAATGTTTTCTGAGAGGGATCAGGCTGTTCCTAAACCTGATAGAAATGATGGCGTGTGAGAGAACTAATCCCTTTCTGTAGCCTTGATAAAGAAAAAAGTATTCCAGTTGGAAATAAAATTTGAAAAGGAGTGGTTTGAGTGGCTGCACTGGCACGTTATCGCAGCTGGAAGCGCCGGTTTTGCTTTCCTTTCCCCCCAACAATATCAGAATGTCGGACACATTCAATGTGTAATATCCCTTTCCCCTGCTACTCTTTAATAACTCTTGCTATATAGCTTTCTCTCTGGATAGAATGAGTAATTCCGCTGTCCATCAAACAAGGATGTAACTGCATGTAGAGAAAATAAAAGTGTTGGTGTTACAGATATATCCTTGGACGTACTTACTCCCTACAATGTCAATTCTCCCTTCCCACACCCCCCAGCAAGAGGTGTTAATATCAAACTATTTAATTAAACACTAAACAGAAATTAGATATCTAGTTCCCTAAGACTTTCTGGTTCTACTATAGTTACCGTACACTCCATGCCTTGTCATTCTGGTGCTATTGTAGTTGCCAGACTTTCAATATCTCTTCACTATATTCAACTGATGTAATTGTCAAATTGCATTCATCTCTGCAATGGTTAGTTGCTTCTTAATAATCAGAGATCTGCAAATATATAGAAAACGCACTGGAGTAAAGAATAGGAACCCAAACAAGACTATTATGAGTCGGGTTACTCATTGTAGTAAGAGACCTAGAGATGGTAATGGGCAGCAGATTAGACATGAGCATACAATATGACAGAACAAAAAAGGCAATGAAATTATGGGCTGCAGACCTAGCGACATGGAACAGGAAGTTGATAGTCAATCTAAGCATCAAAAGACAAATAGAATCCTGTGCTCTCTGCTGGGCACCTCAGTACCAGAAAATTGTCAACCTTGTAGAATTTGGAGAAAAACAACAAATGATTAAGGATCTGGAGGTATTGATTTATAAAGGAAGATAGACTGAACTAACTATATAATTTGGCTAAATAATACTTGAGACTTATACAGCACTTTCCATCCAGAGATCTCAGAGAAGTGTACAAAGGTGGTAAAGTATCCTCTTTTTCCAGTTTACGAATAATGAAATGGAGGCATGGAGAGGTTGTGTGGCATGCCCACATTCACCCAGCAAGGCAGAGCCAGTGATACAAATGTCCAGGCTCCCAGTCCCAAAGTCCTTTTAACTGCATTACACTGCTTCATTGCCCGATAAACATCCCCATGTGTTAGAAGGTTCTCAACACAGTCTAAAAACAAAAAATAGTATTAAGGGCAAAATGGTATGAAGCTGAGGTGAGGAGAAGTTAGGCTCAACAGCAAGAAAAAAATCTACCCAAACTGATGATTGTCTATGATGGAAACCAGCTCATTTGGGTTTCTTAAACCCGGGTTGATCAAAGTATTGTATATGATGTAGGGAACAATCCTGCACTGGCAATTAGACAACAATGGATTTTTCCTTGTTCTGCTTTTTCTGATTCCACCCAGTGTCAGGTTTCTTGCCATCTCTCTCTGCTGGGAGGTGCAAGATCTTTGCAGTTACACTTCAAATGCTGCTATAAGCAGCATCTCTCTTAAGGCAATCAAATGTCTAGCTGAAAAAGTGCATTGTTAATAAAGCAAAGGGTTAGTACATTGATTTTGTTAAGGCTTACTTGGTCCTGGAGTCAGGATAAAAGCACCTGTTTTTTTCCCCCATATTGTGGGGAAAATAATAAAGCCAAAATTCTCTTCTATTCTAGTCTATTCCATGTAGGTTTTTATACTGCACTCCTCACTGTAATATCTGTGCCTCCTCCAACTGTGCATTAAGCGACATAACTACACATTTTCCATGTGTGGTTTGTTCTCTCCTCCTCTGCCCAGAGGGAGAAGCATGTGAAGTGGAATGTCTTGGTTTGGATTTTGGGGGAAGTGGAAATGGGAGTTATGTTAAATATACCGGTTGCTATGTGTTTATATTAGAGAAGGCATGTCAACGCAACATGCCTTGCAGTGGAGAGGAAAGCACTGAGGTTTGTGATAGTTCTGAGTTCCTGGGGGAGTTCATTCTTTACCCTTGGAGAAGGTTCTGCCTCCCACACTTTACGAGCTTTATGATACTTTAGAGCATGTCTCTGCCACCTTTATTCACAAATGGCTTGATCTAATGCCCAATGAAGTCAACAGGAGTCTTTCCATTGATTTCAGTGAGTAATGGATCAGGCCTACAGAGCAGTACCTTACTATGCAATCAGTCCTATTGATTCCAGGCGCGCTCTCCCGCTTATGGCCACACTCGTTTTAATTTATAAAGGCTGGTGTGACATGTTCATCTGGAGGATTACTATCCTAGAGTCAGACTCAGACAGGGCATCAGCAGGTTTAAATCCCAATGGAAGTTGCATCTGCCTTGGCCAGGACTGAATTTGTCCCTGCACAATTTCTGAAATATCTAAAATAAAAATAAAAGGGTCCCCCAGCATGTTTCTGCCCCCTCACTGCTTGCATCTCTTCCCTCCATCCCTTCACCCGCTTGCTGCTCTCTCCACCCATTGTGTTGTTTGTTTATATTAAACTGCAGTTCCTTGGCAGAGCTTGCTCTCACTTTCAGCCTGTAAAGCACCACATACAACCATGGGCCCAAGCCTGCATACGTTGTGCAACTACATTGACTTCAGTGGGAGCTTCAGGTGCGTAGGGAACCCAGGACATGCTGAGGCCTAAATAAGAACTTTCTGTCTGGGGAGAGAACATGTACTCAGGTAAGGGTTTTGTTTGCAAACTCAGAACAAGGCCTTTTGTTATAATTAATGGAAATATCCCATCTCCTAGAACTGGAAGGGACCTTGAAAGACCATTGAGTCAAGTCCAGCCCCCTGCCTTCACTAGCAGGACCAAGTACTGATTTTGCCCCAGATCCCCAAGTGGCCCCCTCAAGGATTGAACTCACAACCCTGGGTTTAGCAGGCCAATGCGCAAACCACTGAGCTATCCCTCCCCCCATGTTTTGTTTTGTTTTGTTTTGTTTTGTTTTGTTTTGTTTGTTAAAGCAGTTTGGTCAGTGGGTAGAACGATCAAAAGTGGGCCATTTTGAAAATTTGCACTGAAAACTAAACAGTTTGCATTTGTTTCTCTTTGAGATCTTGCATATATTTAAACCAAAAACTCAAGCTGAAACTCATCTGGGCTGGGTGGGGGTTAAAACTTTGCATGGAGCTGAAGAAACTGTTCACAGTCCTGAGAAAGCTGAAACTGCCAAGTGTCAGGAGGCGTCAGAAAAATAAACACCCTCCCACAGCCCCTCAGTGGATTAGCAGTTCGCTAAGTACAGTTAAGAATATTTATGCCTTGAAACCAAATGCACCACCGCTGGCCCTTTGCCTTTCTGAAATATTTAGCAATTCCTAGAGGATCCCAATCAGAAAAGCAGTGAGTGAAATTGTGAATTCCCCTGGCGCAGCAGAGGTGCTACATACTACTAAAAATTTATGAAAAACCTCCTTTAAGCATCTGAGACTTTAGGAGCACTTCATCCAGGGCCCTGCTACCAATACCTTTTTATGTATTTCCCCCCTCCTTTATTAACTTTTACCAACATTTTTAAATATGACACAGTTGATAAGTGAAACTATAAATAAGCCTTTTTTTTCCTTCCTGGGTGCAAATACAGTAGATTAGGTCTGAAGCCATCATTTCTGTTTTGCATAATTGACATCATTATCTGTCAGGTTGCTCGGCTCAGCCTGACAGTCATTATGAGATCATTAGAAAAAGGGTTGTAATAAGTTCAGAAGGCCAGTCGGCTGTATTCTAATCACTGGAGAGGAGAGTGCTGATGGGGGCCTCGGGGAGAAAGTATTGAAGCAACTAGAGGATTTTTAATGACCAAATCAAGTTAGGAAAATCACCACCTGTGCCTCACCGAACAGGATAATTTCGGCTTGGAGTGAGGGCGCGCGTAGAATGGATGTGTAATCACTTTTTTCTTCTTTCCGTCCTTATGGCTGATTGTGCAGTCGGTGAGCAGAGAATCAAAAAATCTCCAAGCAGGGAAAGGAGTAGCAAAGGAAAATGAAAATAAAACACAGTTTTCAATAAGAAATGATTTGGAGAGGGGACCAGAGGCATTGCAAACTCATTTAAGTGTCAAGCTGTTCAGAAGCCAGGCAGGATAGTCTCGTGGTTAAGTGGCTGGAGATCTAGGGTCAATTCTTAGCTCTGACACAGAATCCCTGTGTGACCATGGGGAAATCACCCAGTACTTCTGTTAGTCTCAAAGGTGCCACAGGACCCTCTGTCACTTTAACTATGTATGCCTCAGTTCTCCATCTATAAAGGACATGGTTTCTCCCTCCTTTGTCTCTCTTTTCTATTAAGCTGGGGATAGAATAGCCACTCTTTGTCTGCTTTGTCTGTTGGACTGTAAATTCACCAGGGCAGGGACAGTCTCTCGCTGTGTGTTTGTACAGCACCTAGCACAGTGGTGCCACACTCTCAATTGAGGCCTCCAGGTGCCTCTGTAATACACTAACCTTGGGGGCTGCTTTGTTGCTGTTAGCCATAACTTTGTCAAAATTTTAAAAAATCCACAAAGATAAGAAGAAAAAAACCCACATGTCTAATGGAAAGACAATTCATTTGAAAACCTGTCTTTCTACAAAGTTCACTGGATGTCCTATTTCAACAAGTCCTATTACC